TTGTGTATATAATATTATGGGTTTGAAATTCCGCCGACCCCAATAATTGATATGTCATATTGGGCAGCTTCTGGAAGGTCGACAGCTTGAGCCTAAGCTTGGGTCACCTCTGCCCATCCGTTAAGCAGAAACTGCGGCCTGCGCCAAGGAATAACTCGGGAGGTTCCATATTGCCCATCCCGAAAACGCCTTTATCATGGCTCGAATTGTTTATGGAAGTTTGTCGCTGTATCGTGTTCCGTTTCAACAAGCTCGCAGCACTCGAACTTGAGAGGACCAGAGCCATCGCAGTATAATGCAGTATTTCAAGTAAAAATAAAAGATAAATAAAAAATCCTCCTCGTCGTCGATTACGTACTGCAAAGAGAGCAGGTGCGTTGATTTGATTAATGCGGGATTCCAGAGATATCTGCAAAACTAATTAAGCAGCTCTGCCTGCGACTGACCTTTTTTCTAGTTTCAACTGGTTATTGGATCATTAGTTTCTTGCTCTTCGGAATTAGCGCTGCAAACTGATACTGTAATTGCCTTTGTTTATTAGAATTCTTGAGTTGGCGACAACAATTTTCAGATTGTTAAATGTATACCAAGGAAGGAGAATTTTTTTCTTCATTTCACTTATCATTACTGTAGTTAGTGTAGTGTTATAATTTGACATTTTTCAATGAATTGATTTTTTTCAAGCGATTAATCTAGAATTGATGTGAGTGAAGAAAAGCCTAGTGTAACGTCGAAACGAGTTTTAATTCTTACTGATCCTCAACTAATATTTTGTTGAAGAAACGGGAGTCCAGAATTCCCGCAACTTTTCCCCAGTGTCCCGTTTCTCTGCAGCGCGAATTTAATTGTGTGTTTTCATACCGTCCGAAATTTACCCGTTCTTGTGTTTATGCTCATACAGTAGCGTATCGATTCCCCTGAGGCAGAAAAGAAAAACCCGTGGTGTCCGTCGGCGTTGGTCAGGATTTATTGGGAAATGAATCTGCTTTGACCAAGATTGATCGGATTAATTTTGCCATACAATAGTCAGTGAATGCCCTCGTCGGGCCCTCTATTGCGACTGGCAGAAAAATGCATGGGAAGTGAGGGTCCATCCAAAAATGCCTGTTCGTATTTTTTGTTTGACTGTGGTGTTTTGCGCGAAAGAAATTTTTTAGGAAGCCCTAAGGAAGGAATTCGTTACCCACGAATAATTTTAATTCTTCTCGGTCAATTGCTTTTTTGGGGCTATTGTTCATGATGTTGGAGTTTTTTTCCCTCTTGTGTTGTGCATTCTGAGTTGACGCCATTTTCAAGTAAATTCGATTTGAGCGCACGAAACTCAGTTGGAATCGAGTTTCATGGAAGAAATGTACCTTTGATGTTCTTTTTCATTTTGGAATGTTTCTTGATTCGTGACTTTCATCTTTCTTGTAGTACAATATTTTACTGTATTTCAGGCGGTCCTTTTCAGCTGTAGTCGACCACTCGAGTCAATCGTATTTGTTTCGACTTGAAT